TTCCTATATTGAGAGATAGAAGTTCATGTTTTTACCTGTTTCATCTTGAGTCGTGTACAGCAATGGAGGTATCTTCAATGGAGTTTGAGCTTTGGTACAACTTGCCTGAAGTCCAAGGATGCTTCTCCTATGCTTGGCTTGCTCTGAAACTGCCTGTATCGTGCTATGGAAGTCCACCTGCACAGCTTGAAAGCAAAAATGGCAAATGATGTTAAGGATGTTACAGCTTGGATTTAATGCTTGGGATAGTTTGTGCGGATAATATAGAATGTGTTTGAACTGGTTTTAGCCAAAACGCACGAGCAAACTGAGTTGTGCAACTCAATCTGCAGGGATGCCCTGTTTCTTGCAGAAAAATGGTGTTTTGGTGAATGGGGAGGTTTGGGAGGTGGTTCAGTCGTGCCTTAGGTCTGTTTTGATGTGTGTAAGATGTTCACAAAGTTTGCTTGAGCTCTTGGTTACAGGAATTGAGTGTTGGTTTGAGTTTGCTAAGTTTCTTCTAATGTAAGCAAGGATAGTGTAAGTTCCAATACAGGCCTGTACCACCCTCTATGTATGCTGCCTCTCTTGTTCTTGATCAGATGGATTTGTGTACAAATGCTAGCCTCAAAGATCTGGCCCATGCCTCTTGGATTTTGAATTTGACATAAAGCACTACTTTACAAAAATGGCAAAGTTGCTTTTTCTAATTATGGATTAGTTCTTTGTGTAATGACTAAATGCACAAAACAAAGCTTGAACACAAAGGTTAAGCATTTAATTATGGAGTGCAAACTTGGTTTAGAGGCCTGCAAACAAGTTCCAAGCATGCTGATTTGAAAATGAGACTTGTATGAGCATGCCTTTGGTTATGAATAAAAGTGAATTTTGCCCAACTTTACAAATTTGATTCTCCCTAACCACAAGGGTGTTTGAGAAGTTCTTGGACAATTTGGAAAGCTTAGAATGTGTACTACAATCCATATTTGTAATGCAAATTGAAACTCCAAGTGGAAGCATGTGAAAAATGGCCAAGAAGTTGGACAAAAATCCTGCCTAGAATAGGTCAAAAATTTTCTAAGTTAAAAATGTTTTGCACCCTTGTTCCAAAAATCATAACTTGAGCTACAAGCTTCCTTTGAGAAAACTTTGTGAATCAAAGTTGTCGATTTTTCAATGGACTACAACTTTCATGTTTTGATTTTTGTTTTAATCCATTTGCATCTTGGTGAAAAATGGGACAAAGTTAGGAAAAAATAAGGAAATTTTATAACTTAGAAAATTTCTAAGTTATGAATTTTTTTTTCATTTTAAACCCTAATTTGCAATTTTAGGTTTCTTGATGAACAAGTTTCATAATTTGACATGTCTTGATGAAAAATGAACCTTGGCACTTGATTTTGACCAAAAAGTCAAAGTTTGACTTTTCAGTATACAATCAGATTTTGATCAGTTGACTGGAAAATTCATCTGTCAATCCTGTGCATTTGAGACCTTTTGAACTTGTTGAATGGATCAAGACAATGCCATTGAGTTCTTGAGTTCATATGTGAGCTTGGTTTGCCATTGGTTAGGTCAAACAGTAAAAAATTACCTTTGTACAGTCAAAACCCTAAAAATGACCATTTTGCCCTTTTGGTGATCTGATCAAATTTCTTGTGGAATTGTGATCCAAACTTGACCAAATGGTTCATATGAGTTCATGATGTTGATGTGGGTCAAAAATCATGAAGTTTGACTGTTAATTGGCCACAATTGACTTTTCCCCCCAATACAGTGGATTTTATGTCAACTGTCAAATTGACTGGGCAAAGATTGAAATCAAGGCTTGAAACTTGGTATGGATAAACTTGTGAGTACACCATGAAGCATGAAAGTCATTTTGGGCATTTTAGGTCAAAACATCTTTGTGCAAACTCAAACCCTAATTTGGGTCAACAGTGCAAGGAGAGGTCTTGAGCAGAGCAAACCTTAACTTGATCTTGAGTTCCAAGAGTCTTGTGGTGAGAAAATGTTGATGAAATGAGAGGAAAATTTTTGGGGTACAACAAAGAGTATAATAGAGAACATGAAGAGGCACTAAAGACGTTGGAATTGGAAAAGAAAAAATTAGTAGAAACTGAAAAATCGGCTAGGGTTTCGAATAAAGGTGAATGGTGGAATGATTCTATTGATGATATGAATAGCAAACAGCTTTAACAATTTATGATGTCGATTTATGAGTTTAGGAAGAAGCTTGCTGAAAAGGAATATGAACATCCGAAGATGACTTCCATGTAGTAGCTTCTGGCTTCTACACCAATCTCCAGGTCAAACAAAAGAGGCAGCCAGATGGCACGCTTGCACTAAGTCCAGGCCTAGTCGAAAGGAACTCCCTCATTACTTTCAACCCCCAGTCGGAGGAGGCAGAAAGGAAGATTACATCTTGCACTGGTTCCAGACCCCAGTCGAAAGGCACAACATGCTGGCCTTCAGGCCCCAATCGAAAGACACGCTTACACGGGTGCCATCCCCCAATCGAAGGAAGTCAGAAAGTTCAGAATCGAAGGGTCTTCTGCCTCAATCGAAAGACCTTCATTTTTCTTTCTTTTATTTCATTTTTGCCTTTATATTTTCATGTACTTCAATATGGTTGTAATAGTGTAGGATTTTATCTTTCTGTATTTTATTACTTTTGTATGCTTGCTAGTAAAATATGACATGTATGGCAAGATAAAAACAACAAGTAGATAACCCATAATCAAAGACTAAATACATGCAATCAAACATATTATTCACACATGCACCCCTAGAGTAATCTCACTTGTTGCCTCAGAAAAATAGTCATGTCTCTCGAATATGGGCGTTTTAGCAAAGACCCTCGATAAAAGATCGTAGTCCCTTCGATGACCTTCAATGTTGTCTTCGGTAAACGATCTAGTCCCTAAACGAGATTGCTAAAACGTCTCATAAGTTACCTTCTATGACTATACAAACGTCTCACGCTCGTCCCTTCGTATCCAACGATGGGGCTTCTTACCAAATCAATGGTAAGATAGCAACATCTAAAGGAGAAGGAAAAGAACATTTAAGACCTTTTGAGTAGGTAGGTTACTCCTAGTTGCTTGCTTGCTCACAACAAAAACATTTTATACACCAACACTTTCATTTTTAAACATTTTCAAAAGACAACACTTTGTATGCATTCTTATAGAGACGAGAATCATTACAAAGACATCTTTTCAAAATCACTTAAAAAAAACACTTCTTTGAACTATTTTCCAAACAACACTTTGTATGCGTTCTTATAGAGACGAGAATTATTACAAAGACACGTTTTCAAAATACTTTCAAAAACCACACCACAAGCACATTTTCAAACAAAGCAAGTGATCTAGCAAGCAACTAAGAGCCCATAGATAACTATGGATGAAAATAGTGCTAACATCGTGCCTTTTCATAATCTACCCCCGAACTCAAGAAAATAATCTCAAAGGTCTTTCATGTTCTTTTCACCCTTTCCTTTATTGGATAAAAGAAAAGTCGGTGACGACTCTTGCTATCCGCAACAATTGCGATAAAACGCAAAACACTCAAGTCAGTTCTCCCACTGCGTTACAACGTGGTATCAAATATATATCAGTTGGTGTACCAACTTAAAAATAAAATATAAAAAAATCGGTAAGGCTTCGGTGCGTATCAAGTGTGTACCGTACGCGTACCGATACCCAATACTTACCGGTATCGATACTTTACCTAAAATGGAGTACCCATACTTCACACTGCACCATATGAAAAAAAAAACGAAGAACAATAACATCAGATTTCAAAACCTTGTTTAAAGTGTGATTTATTAGATTGATAAGTTGCAGAGTGTTGTTATTTATTTATTTGGAATGCGTTTTTTTAAAAAAGAGTTTATTGGCTTGAAATGAAGAAAATTTGCATGGGGAACATTTAAAATTGAGAGAATTGATTTTTAGTTAGCCTAGATAGAGATACAAACTAATAAATATAATAATGGGTAGAAAAATATTAAAAAATTCAAAAAAATTAAATAAAATTGAATTAAGAAATTAAGTGATACATTAATGATAAAATTACACATAATTTTAGAAATATAATTAATTTTAATAAGATTAATTTTGTAAAAATGGTAGTAATCAATTATATATATATATATATATATATATATATATATATATATATATATATATATATATATATATATATATATATATATATATATATATATATATATATATATATATATATATATATATATATATATATATATATATATATATATATATATATATATATATATATATATATATATATATATATATATATATATATATATATATATATATATATATATATATATATAATGTTTTTTTTTTGTTTCACACAATCTCGATTATGGTAAGACATATGAAAGAATAAAAAAATGAACAAAATAAAAGTAATAATTATCAAAAAAATTTAAAAATAATAAATAACATAACATTTAATTGTTATGCACTTTTATACGTAAACACACTATAATCATTCATATCCATAATTTTGGAGATAGTTACGATAAAATTAAATATACATACTAATTTAAAGGTCATAGATGATTCACAAAATAAAATATAGGTACCTTATCAATCAATGTAAATTAAATATAGTAATAAATTAATGAATTATATCATATTAATATAAAAAAATAAAACACATGAATGCGATTTTATTTGGTTAAATATAAATTTTCTTAAAATATAATATAGTTTTAGCGGTTTTCAATAAAGAGCATCAAAATTAAATTAATAATATTAAATTAGGTTTAATTTTTCAATAAGTCTGCATTTAAAAAAACGAATTTTTGAAAAAAAAAAAATATTTTTTTCAAAGTTTATTATATAATTTTGATTAATCGCATAAATAAAAAAGTTGTACATCGTCTATATATATTTTTATATACACATAAATCTGTTAAACTTATTTTGATATCAGCTAGAATATTAGATTTTTAGTTGAAAAAATTATATTTCAATTTCATGATGAATACAGTAGATGAAAGAAAGAAAAACACAGGGCGCAAGAAGATCGATATCAAGAAAGTTGAAAAAAATTCCAACAAGCTAGTGACATTCTCAAAAAGAAGACAAGGTTTATTCAAAAAAGCCACAGAACTTTGTGTCTTATGCGATGTTAATATAGCCATGATTGTGTCTTCTCCTGCTGATAAACTATTCGCTTTCGGCCAACCCGACACAGACATAGTCCTCAAGAACTACATCCATGGAACCACTGAGTTTGAAGATCAAGAGTCTGAAAGAATTTCTTCAATCTATGAAGAGTATAATAGAGAACATGAAGAGGCACTAAAGACGTTGGAATTGGAAAAGAAAAAATTAGTAGAAACTGAAAAATCGGCTAGGGTTTCGAATAGAGGTGAATGGTGGAATGATTCTATTGATGATATGAATAGCGAACAGCTTCAACAATTTATGATGTCCATTTATGAGTTTAGGAAGAAGCTTGCTGAAAAGGAATATGAACATCCGAAGATGATTTCCATGTAGTAGCTTTTCAATAGTTTTTTTTCCTTCTTTTATAGAATTTTTAGGGTTATGGTTAGATTCAACTATCGTTGATTTGTTTTTTCGTTAGTGTTCTTTTAATCTGTGCTGCACTTTGTATAATATTGCAATTGAGATTTTGTTTAATCATAAATTAATTTGGATTTTTTTTTTCTCACACCATGTGCTTATTTGAGTATGTATATAATTATTACCTATGATTAAGGATGTGCATTTATTTCAAGCATTTTTTTTTTTGGCAATTAAGAACAATTTTTTTACCAACTAAAATTTTTTTTTGCATGAAATAAAATAAGGATTTTCTGGTTGCACCTTTAGAATTACTCTCAAAACCCTATGAGATTTTGGAAATACCTTAGTATTATAGATTTTTGATTTTATATGTATAGATCATAAGAAGTTGTATATGTGTAAAAGAAAATTATATAATTATTATATTTTCATTAGAAAAAAACATAAATTACATCTAAGAAAATGTACTTAAATTTTTTCCTAATAAAAACGTCTTAAAAATAATTTAAAAGAAGAAAGGAATAAAATCTTTGAAGCCCTTAAAAAATAGAAGATTTATATCTAAAGTTATCATGAGAAAGAGAAAAGAAATCAACCTAATCTCATTAGAGAGTACACTTTTCATCGAAAAGAGTGGGAAAAGGGCTTTTCTTGAAAATGCATAGAACTAGACAAGTGTATGTTCCAAGTTTGGTATGTATTTCAATGAAGATTCCAACAACAAAAATTTCCTTTGCTTCCTCCTAAAGATATTCTTAAATTTTTCACCCTTCCATATGCAATACCTATATATAGTTTTTTCTTCAATTTCAATTGCAAATTACAATCATCTTAAGCATATATTCTTTTACATGAACCATGAATAATTACACAATAATTTTCTTCTTTTTTGGGTTTGTTTCTTCAAGTTTGTTTCAATTTTCAGTTGCTTCTATTGTTTCAACCGGTGACTTCAATAAGGACTTCTTTGTATTATGGTCTCCCAATCATGTAAACACTTCAGATGATGGAAAGACAAGAAGCTTGAAACTTGATCAAGAATCTGGTATGCTCAAATATATGTATAATGTATATTTTTTTTGTTTTGTTTTGATAAGCATGTATAATGTATCTTAATCTGAACAACCTGCAATGTATAAGCAATAAAGAGTTTTGAAGCACAATCACTCAGTTTTGAATGCTCCTGATTTTAAATTGTGACCTACAATTGCTAGTGAGGTGCAATATATAAAATAGATTTTGAGGTATAACAACGGCGTCATAACAACGATTTTCACCTCATTGGCTGCATAGCCACGACCAAAACAGCACTTTAAAACCACGGTGTCCATGGCTCTGTCATTCATTTCTTAATGACGAGTTTTGGATCATTGCAGGGGCTGGTTTTGCTTCAAATCAGATGTTTTTATTCGGACAAATTGACATGCAAATCAAACTAGTACCAGGTGATTCTGCAGGCACAGTCTTGGCCTTTTATGTAAGAACCGTTTATTTTATTTTCTATTTTCAATTTAAATATAAAAGTATAGATACAAATCAGTTTGGGAATATATTTTCAGCTGACATCTGACCAACCAAATAGAGATGAAATAGACTTGGAATTTTTAGGAAACGTCTCTGGCCAACCATATATTCTGCAAACAAATATTTATGCAGATGGACTTGACAATAGAGAAGAAAGGATTCATCTCTGGTTTGATCCCACAAAAGACTTCCATATTTATTCTGTGTTGTGGAATCTTCACCAAATTGTGTAAGCAATCTCTTTATATCCTAAAATCTTGCTCTTCAACCCTTTGTACTTCCAAAAAAAGATATATAGTTAACCTAGGAGTTCGCTGTTGATCAAGATTTGAGATTTGAGAGTAGGGGTGAAAATAGGATGGGTCGAGCTAGACTTTGTCAAACCTAAGTCTAACTTGTTAAAAAAGCTGAAGCTTAAGCTTGATTTGTAGTCTATCATAGACCTATTTTTAGGTCTGAGTCTGACATTTTCTAAAGTCTGGTCAGCATATTAGCCTACATAAAAGTCTATTATTTTAAACATGTGTAAATAAGCAATTTAAATAATGTTTAAATAGACTAACAAACTAAAAAATCAATGAGATTAAAGTTTGTTTGCATTGATTTATTTTAACTTATCAATTAGCATAAGTTTTGTGAGACTATTTGTTTAAGAGAACTTGTGAAAACAATTTATAACATTGTTTATATAAGGTGTTTTCATCTTATTTTTATAAGTTCTCCAAAATAACCAAATTTTATTTATGTATTTTGATTCAAAGTACAAAAATATAACATAATGATAATAAAAAAATTATTCATTTTTATTTATATAGGCCGGTCTGTTAGGTCTAAAAGACTTTTTTTATAACCTGAGGCCTAACCTTTTTTAACTAAATAGACTTATAAAAAAGCTCAGGTCTAGCCTGAACCCGTGTAGGCTAGGCCATAGGCCTTTGTTATCGGTCTCGCCTATTTCCACTCCTACTTAAGAGTGTACTTTTTTAAGGTCTCAAGTTCAAATCCTGTTAGATGCTAATAATTTTTGTGTTGGGTTTATCCATCCATAGTTTAGCTCTGACTTTAAATGAGATCCCCACAAGTGAACAATGAAGTTTGTCTCTCTCAAATTTGTCGGTCCTAAAGCCGAATACCGAGTTTTCAAAGAAAGATATATAATTGATGTATATATATGTATATACTATTTCCTTTTGCAGGTTCATGGTGGATACAATTCCTATAAGAGTGTACAAAAATCATGCAGACAAAGGAGTAGCATTTCCTAGATGGCAACCAATGAGTCTAAAAGCAACTCTTTGGAATGGTGATAGTTGGGCAACAAGAGGTGGCCAAGATAAAATTGATTGGAAAAATGGACCTTTTATAGCTTCATTTAGAAACTATAAAATTGATGCTTGTGTTTGGAAAGGGAATCCAAGATTTTGTAGAGCATCAAGCTCTAATAATTGGTGGAACCAATATAAGTTTAGTTCATTGACATCCATACAGAGAAGGTGGTTTAAATGGGTTAGGAAATATCATTTGATTTATGATTATTGTCAAGATAATGAAAGGTTCCAAAGTAATCTTCCTAGGGAATGTTCTCTTCCTAAGTATTGATCATCTAAGTTTGGTTTTCTTAAATTTCAAATATGTTACATTTGTTTTCAAGTTTAATGCCAAAATAAAGGTTATATAAGTTGGCATATATTCTTGTAGCCCTTAAGTCAAAACATTCATTCATATAGCTTATGTCATGGTTCTTCCCATCCTTAAAAAAATGACTTCATAAAATGGACACGTGTGAGGGTTCAGACGATCTCAAATGTGTGGCGTGACAAAGTGTCTATTAGATAAAAAAATCAAATATTTATAATGGTTTGGACTTCAATTCAAGTGTGAGTTTAAAACCACCTCATACATTTACTTTTTGGGGAAAAAACTTCTAAAACAATTAAAAACCTAAAATTATTATAACATAGAAAAAAAAATTAAATTTAATTAAAAAATAGAAAAGGTTTAAAATTTTAACTATAAAAGAATAAAAAATTAAGAGAAAAGATTCAGAGATTAGAGATTTTTTTTTAAAAATAAGATAAAATGTAGGACTGATATCTAGTGTTTTAAAATCCAGTTTGATCATCGTTACTATCAAGGTACAAGATCTCATGATCGCAAACTTGATTTATACAAATTAAAAACAAAAAATATTTCTGAAATAAAATTCTTGACATTAATTTTATGCTTAATGTCCATTTTTGTCCCTATCTTTTGGTTGTAGTTCATATTGGTTCCTTAACTTAAAAATCATTCAATTTCGTCTCTCTATTATTCAAATAGAGTTATGTTTTCCCTTGACGTCAAAGGCATTAGTCAAAGTCAATGCAAGAGGCCAAATATGGCTTAGGTGGAATAGTATTTGCTTATGTGAAAAAAAAAACTTGTTGAGTTGTATGTGAACATTGGTGAGATGAAATACTTAATGAGATTTACTAGTAGCATTGCTTTTATTTCTCTCAATATTTTATTTCAAAGTGAAACGAAGGAAGAACCAAGGTGTCTTGCTGCAAATGAGAGCGAAGGAACTCTTCAACAAGGTAGCGAACAAAGGAACGAATCCTAATGCGAGAGGAAACGAAATGAGAAAAATGTTTCTTGAAACGAAAAAGAGGAAGACAAGTCTACTGGTAAGTCTGCACTACTACAAAAGAACATATATTACTTCGGGCGCGAAAGGGATTTTACCTCAGTGAAACAAGCGACGTAATGAAAGGCGTCATGAAAATATGTCACTTTACCCCTTTGGTTATTGATTAATCGAGGAGATAGTTAAAATGGTCATTTGTTTTGTTGTGAAAATGATGCCAAGAACAGAGTATAACAGGTTTCTTTGAGGCAAGAAAGCCACAAAGTATGAATTACGAAAGAAAGAAGAGCACAAGGATTGGTTATAACTGTTATTCTTTACTTTTTCTTTAAACAAGATTACAAGTACACAAGAATAACAAATAACCCTCTCACCCTAAATTAGGATCAATATGCAATGATGAGAGACTAGTATTCTATTTATAATAAATATAACATACTAAACTAATGGAATTAAGTGTATATGTTTGAAGCAACGAGAGAAAAATAAACAATGAAGTCGTCATCGAATATTTATTTATCTCACAGAAGGGAAAGGAAAACTTTGAAGAAAACCTGATAAGGGAGAAATCAAGATCGCGCGACCAAGAGAACGGGTAAGGGAGTCGATTACACAAAGGGAAGGTATTAGCACCCCTCATGTCTGTGGTACTCCATGGGATCCACTATTGTTGTTCTAATCAAAAGGGTGTGTCAATTCTAAAGCTAACAAGATAAATGCATGAATGCAAAGTATATACAAAAAGAAAGTTTTAATTAGTTGTGACCGTCGCGGTTGCGAACCTTTGTTCCTACGTACCACCTTTCGTGCAATAAGGGATCAGGGCACTCGTAGTTCACCTAAAAAGGTGTTTTTGGTTTGTTTTGTGTTTTTAGGCGGATAATTTTACATTCACACTCTAGCAGTTGACATATTGCAACCCGACCTTTGGGGACTTAAGCGTCGTTTGCGCGGAGTAGAAATAAAACATCCTTTTTTGAAAAGGTTTTCAAAAGAAAAGCCTGAAGGAAACCCGAAGGAAAAATGTTTGAATTGGTTGGTGTTTTTACCTTGAAAAAGGATTTGTTATTTGAACCATATTAAAGACTATGACTTGAGAGACTTTGGATGATCGAGTCAGACGCCTCGTATCCAAAGTGCTCCACACGTGCTTATGGCTCGTGACACATGGTTCGCATCATTATTGTTGTGTTTTTGAGAAGTTTGAGAAGAAAAGAAAGTTTTAGTTTTAAAGATGCAAAAGGGGAATGAAAAAGTCTAAGGGACACTAGAGATCCTAATGTTGTCATATAATGATGGTCCTAAGGTTAGAATGAAAGGGAAATCTCTACCTAAGTTAGCATGCAAAGATGGACCTAATGTTGAGGATAGGGAAGCTACCTAATATTGACATGCTTGGAAAAAAACCTAAGGTCTATTTAGTTCACACCTTAAATAAGTTGAAACTAAAATCCTAAGGGAATATGTTATTCACATAAGAGAGAAGAAGAGAGAAAATGACAAACAACTTTAAGCAAGTAAAGAAGAGATGCAAGCAAGTAAAGATAAACCAATGAAGACATGTTATGAAAGTACATCAAACAACTCAAAGCTACTTCCCCTAACATGTTATCATCCAAATTCTACCAAAAAAAAGGAAACATAAGTCAGGAAGAAGATGAAATCACCTAACTAGGCAAGTAGAAGCACAATTAAGCAAATAGAAGACAAGACTTTAAACAATGTTAAAAGTATCAAGAAAATGAGAGGAAAAAGTGAATACCTAGACCTAAATATGCTTTAAGACATCACAAGTTATCATAAAGAGGTCACATGTTAACAAACATCACCTAACTAAAGCAAGCATGGATAGTGGAGGAAGATGAAACTCAAACAAATGGCCAACATTGACCTAAGTCTAAGATAAGTAGTGAGCATACAAAGGGGAAGCCATATTGCATCAAGGTAAGCATCATGTCATATCAAGATACTCCCTAAGGGTCATGTACAATAGGTAAGGGCTTAAAAATCACAAGAGAAGTTACATGTGCAAGCACACTACTTATGTGTTAAATGCCTAACCTATCATGGAATAATGAAGTTGTCATACTCCAAATTCGCCCGCCCTTTATTTCTACAATAAAAAATATTTTAAATATTGTTTTTATAATATTATTTGATTTCTATAAATATTTGTTCTCAAGTCCAGTTAAAAATATAATAATTTATTTCAAATTATTTATATTTTTAAAAAAACAAATATTTGCACACCTTTCATATACTTTCAATTGTGTTTATTTATAAATAAGTAACATAACACAATTGATAAATAATGAAGCTTGTAAGTATGAGGTTGCGAGTTTGAATCTTGTGTGTTTAATTTTTAACATTTTTTCTATTTTTTTTGTTACTAATTTTCTTTCCTTGTGTGGAGATCAAACTTTGAGATTTCTTTTGGGCTTTTGGATAACTTAGTCTCTAAGTCTTTGTTTAACCTAATTCTAAGTCTATAAATAAGACTCATTGTTGTCCTAATTTTCCATCAACAATCATTCACAATTACATAAAAATCCACAATTTTGCAATTGCACACACACAATTCATCGCCAAAATCCACAATATTCACGATTTCTCACAATCCACAAAAACTTTTTTTCCTTTCAACAAAAGTTTTTTTATTCTCGATCAATGATTTCATATGAGGCCATCCACCATGTTATTTCAGTTTTATCGTGTTCTTATTTTTAATTTGGATTTTTTTAAACCACATGATTACAATTATCTTATGGTTCAGTTCTTTAAGTTAATAACTTATATAATTTATTAGCAATGTGTACATAGTTTCAATATCTTTGCCATTTTCGTATACATTTAAGTACTACATAAATATCCATTCTTCCTGTTGCTTTAATATTTTACCGTAACAACTTGTAAACCATTTTTTTCAACACACATAAGAGAGTCATGTTTTTTTCCAGATTGCTTTACAACAACCTTCATCAATATCACTTCTCTTATTACATCTCAGATACAATTTACATTTAAAACATTTTTAAAATTCACTAATTATGTAGTAACTTGTAAGATTGTTATATCATTTATCATCAACTTGAAAATAAGGTTTTTTTTTTTAAGTTCATAATAAAATTTAGAAATATTGTCTTCCGATAGTTCTTCCATGGAAAAGCTGCAACAGCTGAAACTTTATTCAACACATTCATCAATCCCATAACCTTTTTTAACATTCATCACCATTACAAAATTAATGGAATTATATGCAAAACCTATAAGATTTTTTTGTTTTTAGGTACATCGGAACAAGAAAAAGGAAAGGAAATTGGAAACAAAAATAATAATAATACATAGAAAGAAATCACAGATTACCACCACCGACGAATCCCGCTCAGACCCTCTCCCGCAACTCCGCAGCATCCGCCCTGCAAACGTCTTCAACAATAATGTTCCTGTACAACCACAAATCGCTCGCAGATTCAACCGATCAACAACCATCCATCGTGCACAAATAACCTTCGCTCCAGTAGCCTTCACTGCGGTCATCACTACATCGTCCAACCGCGAATAGACGACACCTCCTCCCTCCGCCAGCGACACCAATGAAGCCCACAATCCGCAACCCCTCCGATATTAACTCACAACAACTATCGAACAAAAACCGCTCGAAAAAATGAAATCTCCAGCCTCAAATCTCTCACCACCATGCGGCATCAACAATCCAGCTTCGGCCATGCCCCAAGCCGTGGCGAATCCGTCGTTCGCCTTCGTGAACCGACCCACACGACCATCCATGAGAAACAACCGGCACCGCCCTACCGGTAGTTTTCCTTTGCCTTTATTTTTGTGTTGTTGACGATGTTTATGTATTTGTTATGCAGAATTTTAGAGTCGAAGCAAGGATTGAAGAGGAGAAATTGAAAGTTTTTTATCCTGAAGTTAGGGAGAAGAGAAACGAAAGGGATGAGACCCAAATTTGTTGTCTCTCTCTTCTTTAACTGGTGAATAAAAGTGGGTATTGTCTATCTCTCATAACGTGGGTGTTATATCCCAAAATTTTATCTCTCATTTTCATTCGAAGATATTCTCCTGGGGTCCTCAAAAGTTTAAGGTTGCTCAAGAATTGATTAGACAAATTCTCCTCTTAAGCAATAAGTTCACAAATAGGGTTTTGTGTTTCTAAAGGATGATTGGATTTCCAAGGTCTAAAGTGTAAAGTTTGCTCAATCAATTGCTCAGATGACTGAAAATCAACTGTATTAGGTGAAAAGTCAATTATGGTCAACATACAGTAAAACCTTAATATTTTTGGTCAACATCAAGATTTTGAAGTCACGTTCATCATTTTATCAAGGGTTGGACATGATTGATCAAGAAAAGCCCTTAAATCATCAAAAGTCAAAAGTTGCCAAATTAGGGTTTCCTTAGGAGAAGTCAACTAAACTTTGACCAGGCATAACTTTCACATGCTTCATCAGCCTTTCCACAACCAAAGCCCATTTTGAAAGAAATTCAATTCTCTACAACTTTGCATCTCTAAGCTCAAGTCCAAAAAATACATTATTTGATAGATATAAGCCAATACATTACAAATCATTTTAAAAGACAACAAAAATATATTTTTTGTCAAGACAACTCACATCAAGATAAAGTCTTCAAAAGCAAAAATGATTAACATAGAGTCTGTAGATCACATCTTGAGATTTCTAAAAAGTAAAAGATTACCTTCAAAAGATCAAAAGTGAGTGAGTTATGACCATTTCAAGTTGAGAAATTTTTGAGAAATGCATGAAATCTCAATTGAGCAAATTTGTGATTTTGGGCTATTATGCCTAACTTCTTAGGTTCAAACATGTTCATGACATATCTAAGGATCTCTAAATCCATTCATATATTTTTTTAATTCTTTTTATTTTGATTTTTATTCATTTAAATTCAAAATAAAATCAAATAAAATACAAGGTTAATGAGTTAGGTGTGCAAGGCTTTTGTTTTTATCATATTGGAGGCCCAAGATTGCATATACAAGCTAGAAAATTCGTGCAAGGAAGATTGGTGCAAGATTGGTCAAAAATAGCAAGTTTTCACATAATTGCAAATCATATCTTTTCATCATAAACCAAAAATATTTGTACCACAAATATGGACCTAATCTCTTTCTCTATATATACACAAGAAAATATCAATGCAAAGCACACACAGCCTGCCTCAATAACACGTCCTAAAGCTCTCAAAATTGCTCAAGCTAGGGCAACACAAAACCCTATTCTCCAGCCACTCTTAAGCCATTTCGAGTACCAAGCCAGCCTCCTGAGATATCTAGGAGTCATTCTCAACCCTTAGGTAGTCTCAAAGCATTACAGAGCACTCTCATTCAGCCTCACTGGAGTTGGTAAAATTATTCAAGTTCAAACTCTTATTTTATGCTTTGTTGAATCATTTAACACACATATACATATTCAGCATGATATTTAGAATGTTTTGAACCATTATTTGTGAGGTCTAAGGCAGGAATAACAAGGTGTCATGGTTAGGGCATAAAGCTCCGGCTTCACCGTATCTCAATGTACATACCGTTTTACGTTAAACAAAGGCCACCACTGGATTCACAGCCCCCAAATTAGGGGGGGTAGGGTCCCTATAATCTTTGTTGTTGTTGATTTTCGCAGGTTTGCAAAATTGGGCAATCAAAGAAGACAACCAGAAACCACCATGCGCGTGTGTTTGGTTGTCTGACTTTTGGAATTTGTTTTACATTATATATTTATGAATTGACATAGGTTATTGGATGTATGTCCACCCCAGTGGTAGTTTGCTCGCCTCTAAGTTATTGCTATGCCCATACACGGGTTTGATCCTGACGCAGAACAATATTTTTCATGTTTTGTGATTTTTACAAATCCAATGCAAGCTAGCTCAGGCGTCCACCATACGCTCTCATCTCATCACTATCAGATCTCCACTAATTCAAGATCAACGGGCCAGAACATGCACGCACACCATGCATCTCCTAGAGCCAGTCACGCTGGATCGTTCACAACAACTGGGCTTGCACATTTTGGGCCTAGCAATTTGCTTTCCTTACACCCCTGATTTGCTACTTTCAGGCCCAAATCTTCCTTTTTTCTTTTCTTGTTTTATTTTAATTACTTTTTTAACACAATTAAATTAACTTATTTTAATTAATTAAAATCAATTTAGACTTAGGGTTTTCTTTAATTAAATTAATTAATTAACTTATTTTAATTAATTAAAATCAATTTAGACTTAGGGTTTTCTTTAATTAAATTAACTAAATTAACTTAACTTTCTTTGATTAAATTAACTTACCCTTTTTTAATTAATTAATTTAGTTTTTAGGGTTTTATCATTAAAATTTATTTTTTTCCTAACTAAAACTAATTAGGGTTTTTAGATTAATCATCAAATTATTATTTTTTTCAAAAATCATAAAACAATTTTTCTTATTTCTTTTATCTTCGCGTACTCTTCATTATTTTTCGCATTAGTTTTTTTCCCAATTATGTAACTGCTACGATTTGTAATAGTCTTAATTAGGGTTTACTATTTACCCCAGTTTTATGGTTGTGTATCCCCACTCTCGGAGCCCTGTAATAGTTCAGGTTTAATTTTCGCACCTTTACTTTTCGCAATTTACCATTTTCCTTATTACTGTATAGTAACTAGGCATGTATGGCAAGATCTAAAAGCAATCATAGCCAACCATAAATGCAAGATAAAATAACTGAATTAAATCACTTTTCACACACTCACCTCTAGGGTAATCCCACTTGTTGCCTTCGAATAAAAGCAGTCATGTCCCCCGAACATGGGGACGCTTTAGCAAAGACCCTTGATTAAAAAGATCGTAGTACCTCGATGACCCTTTGATGTTGCCTTCGGTAAACGATCTTAGTCCCTTACGATAAAATTTCTAAAGCGCCCCTACGAGTTGCGTTTGTGAATGTACGATGACTCGCACCTATCCCTCACACATCTAATAGATGGGGCTACCTACCAACTAATGTTATGAATCACACTATCTAAAGGAGGAAGAAAATAACACGAAATACTTTTGAGTAGGTAGATACCTTGTAATCGCTTGCTTACAAAAACAAAACATCTTTTCCACAAAACACTTTTCTCTGAAATATTTTCAAAAACAAACACTTTGTACGCATTCTTAACTAATACAAGAATCATTACAAAGTTTCTGCACTTAGGCATTTTTTTCAAAATATTTTCAAACACATTCACAAAGCATTTTCAAAATAAACTGAGCTAGCGATTAAGAGCCCGTAGATAACTACGGATGAAAAGGATGCTAACACCTTCCCTTTTCATAACCTACCCCCCAAACTCAGAAAAACCTCGAAGGTCTTTCCTGTTCTTTTCACCCTTTCCTTATTGGATAAAATAAAATTCGGTGGCGACTCTTTCTATCCGTAACATTTGCGATAAAACACAAAACCAAGTCAATTCTCCCCCCGTATTACAGAACTAGCGACTCTGCCGGGGAGAACTAAAAGTGGGGTTACCTTAGAGTTAAATCACTTTTAAATGCTTTCCTTGTTTGATTTGTCTGCTTTATTTTTTAAAGGGTGTTTGGGTTTTATTTCTTGCAAAGATCTTATACCCGGATCTGGGGAACATTTTAGGTAAGTAGAAATAGATCATGGAAACTATACGGTGTATACCAATATGGTTGAATTGATGGCTACATTAGTGTGACAAATTGGTTTGTACCGGTATCCCTCGAGTCAGTCGGGGAGTATACTAGGTTGTCGCGTAGTTTGCTTATGTTTGATTAACTATTCGAACATGACATCATGACATCATGACATCATACCATATTATTTTCACTGACTATTTCAAGGATCTCGAGGGCATGTGATGCAGGTTATCATAAGCCAATGTCTAACAAAGGGGAGAGGGGGTTTATTTTCCTCTAACCAATACTATCGAAGACCAAAGTACATTATCTTGAGTCAAAGGCTAGGACCCACTCGACATGGTGAGCTTGATTCTCATAGAAGGGCATTCAATGACACGAAGTTCTTCAGTCAAAGCTACAACCAGATTCAACTTCTAACATTTCACTTTTGTTTATCCCGCGAGATCCTTGAAAATATTGCATCTGTATATCATGCATCATTACATAACAGGTTTTCCAAGCTCAGAATGCCCAATTCAGGAGACCCTCTTGAACCTAGATCAAGGACATAAAGATATGATGGCGCTCATCACCAAAAAGAAGAAGACTCAGAAGCCAATTTCTATCCTCAACATGGGAAGAAGATTCAAAGGTCCTGCTAAACCCGTTCAAACTGCTAATATCACCTCTGATGAAGATGACAACCAAGAGGAGGATGGTAGAAGTGTCAGGGATGAAGGTGGAAGCAACCTAGGTTCTGGTAAGATGCCCAAGGATGAAGACTATTCTAATGAACAATATCCTCCTACTGATGACAGATACAAATGACTAGAAGATCGCCTCAAGGCCATGGAAATCCAAAAAGTGCCTAGATTGAATTTCAGCGAGCTGGGTCTTATTTCGGGGGTAGTTATCCCTAACAAGTTCAAAGTCCCTACTTTTTCTAAATATGACGGTGTGTCTTGTCCGAAACTTCATCTGAGATCTTATGTTCGAAAGATCCAACCCCATACTGCTGACAGAAAGTTATGGGTTCAATTCTTTCAGGAAAGTTTGTCTAGTACAAAACTCAAGTGGTTCTATCAGATGGATGGAACCAACATCCACACTTTGGAAAACTTGGCTGCTGCTTTTTACAAAC